GAGGCCGCGGGGGCGGAGGCGCTCGGCGGCGGAGGCGGAGGCCGCGGAGGCGGAGACGCCCTCGGCGCTGCAGCGCCCACATGAGAGCCGCGGCGCGCCACCGCGGGGCATGGGGGGCCGCCGCGGAGCATTCCACTACATGGGCGACGGAATGGGACGGTAACTCAGTAGAGGTAGACAGGGGGAGAGGGGGGACTATAGTAGAGGTAGACAGGGGGGAGACGTGATATACATAGGGAATGCGAGGGGGACGATGGAGACGCAGCGTGGGGGTGGAGTGAAGACACATTGGAGAGAGACGGTAGACAGGATGCCCGCTGCAGCGGGTATCCACTCTCCCGTGAGCGAGGGGGACAACGAACGCATAGTGATAGGATACATGCTGTAGCAACCCAACATGTAAGATCAATGGGAGCAATGGGGGGGGGGTGGATTGGATCAGTTCGCGAGCATAGCCTGCCGACGCATGCTAGGCCAGGTTATATTTCGCGCGCCAGATCGCGTGGTGCGCCCGCGCTGTCGCCCAGAAAGGCGCTCCGATATCCTCATCGCATCTATCTGCCATCGTCGGCGTTCACATCCTGATCCGCTGACATTTTTTTTGCATGGACTGATGTGCCAGGGGTCGGCCTTGGATTGGCCAGGAAAGTTTGGGGGCACTTGGGGGGGTCCTGGGGCACTTCAGATGGCAAACAGTCTCGCATCGCATCGCCCTTCGCCACTCCCCCTGCTCCCCTTCAGCACAGTTCGTTGCGCCGCCGAGTAGCTCCCCCCATGGCCTCCTGGCAGCCTCACCAGCTCCCATCAGCCTTGTCCTCAGCAGTCTCGAGCCATCGCGACGCTGCTGCAGCAGAGCCGTGAGCGTAAATCTTTGCAGTTGACAGCGGTGTCGGCATCGTCAACCTCGTCGCGACGCTGCTGCAGCAGCGCCGCGTGATGTACTTCGCGCCTCTCTTAGTTTCACTCCCACCTCGAAATCAGCAGTGTGGACAGTGTTCTGGGACTGCGTGGGTGGGCGTTGGGGTGGGCTGGAGTGCTGGATGTTGGCATCAGGATGGCTGATCTGAAGGTCGAACGGGATCTGCGTCGGTGCCCCTCTGCAGAGGTGATGCTGTCTGACAGCGGCGTGTCTGTTCAATAGCCCCCTCTATTGAACATGCCATGTTCAATAGCCCCCTCTATTGAACAGCCGCGCCCGTGTCTGTTCAATAGCCCCCTCTATTGAACAGACACGCCTCTGTCGATGTCCCAGCTGCCTTCGAGGCTCCCAGATCGCTTCGGTATTTGCTCCTGATCACACTTCGCGCATCTCCTGAATCCGCCCCGCGCCCTCCTCGGACACCTTCCGTGTCCCTCCTGTGTCTGCCCGCCCGCCCGCTCCCGAGCTCCCGTGTTTACCTATCCGTCTCCCGTGTCTCTCCCGCGTCTCTCCCGTGCCCCTTCCGTGTCTCCACATGCCTTCCGTGCGCTCCCGCCCGCGTCCCTCCGCACCGCTTCCGCGTCCGTCCGCCCGCTCGCCCCCGAACTCCCGTGCCCCTCCCGTGTCTCTTCCGTGCCCCCCCCCGTGTTTCTCCCATGTCCCTCCCAACCCTCCGTGTCTTTCGCACCGTCCCTTCCGTGTTCCTCAAATGATCATGCATCCCCCCCCGTGTCCTGCCCGCCCGCCCGCCCGCGCTCGTGTCCTTCCCTCCCGCGTCTCCTCGCATCTCCCCCCGCCCCCCCCCCCTCCCCCCCGTGTCCCTCATTATCTCCCTCCTCTCCTTTCCATCACTCTATATCTCTCTCCCTATTGCCCACTACCATGCGTTCCATCATGGTGCGCATGCATAGCGCTGCAGCGCTTCATGTTACTTTGTGACGATGATTTCTGCTGAGCGCTGCAGCGCTCACGTGTGTTCCTTAATTGCATGCGATCGTTGCGCTGCAGCGCATCTGTACTGTTGTGGCCTCTCTTCCACCTCAGCAGCCGAGTGCTTCAGCTCTCGCAGTGTGGGAGGCCCTCCCTCGCGCTTCCCCTCGGAGCGTCCGCGCACCCCCTCGCCCTCGCGGAGGGCATCATGTCTGCCGCGGCTGCGGCCACACCCATCAACCACATCCTGGATAACCTGGACAGCTGCGACGCCTTCTTCGCATCGCAGATCGGCGTCATCGCCGCCGACGCGATGGCGCAGAGCCAGTCCGCCTTGTCCATGAGCGTGCAGCTGCAGCTTCACAACTTGGGGACGATCGGGGCTGCCCAAGCAGCTACCCTGCAGAATCGAATCACCGCGTCGGGCTTCGCGGACAGCCACAAGGCGCGCCTCAGCGCCGCGCTGGCCGCGCGCGTGGGCACGGCGACGCCCGCGCTCCAGATGCGCGTGCAGACGCTCGCGTCAGGGCGGTGCTACCCATTGTGCTTTGCACATCGGACCGCCGAAGTGTTATTCACATGTATGGTTTAATTGTTTGTTCTGTACTTTATGTATGTTACCATGTTCATTTGTCAAATGTACTTATGTCAGCATGCTGCAGCATGCCTGCGTCGATTCGTAGGCTGGTGGGCTTTACCATGCAGGACTGGGGTTTATTTCGCGACCCCAGCCAGAGCATCGTCGCGAAGGTGCGCGCGTTGATCAAACGTTGCGGTGCCATCGGCTTGACGGTTCCGAGCGAGAACACGCTGAAAGAGTTGGCGGCGTTGATGGCATGCGCCCATCTTCCAGACGCAAACCCTGGGCAGCTCTACGGGATCGTGACGGAGATGAAGGTTTGGGATTCGGCGGGAACGCCTAACGCAGACGCATCATATCGCACTGACTGCAGCCAATGCGATGCGGCGCGTCAGCGTTAGGGGTTCCCGACGAGTCGCCCTTTACAGGGCCAGTTCTTGGCGAGCCGCAGGGGCGCGACGGGGCAAGCGGCGACAGTGACTTGGAATTTCCCAGCAGATCCTCGGCAGCTCCCTCAGCACATCTTCGACGCGGCGTACACCGATGCGGACCCGCCGATCGATGTGACGCGCGACCTCGCCAACGTGGCATCGCATCTACGAGGCTGCTGCCACCCCGTCATGCGCTGCAGCGCTGATTGTTCTGGATGTCTTGGGTGCTTCGGTGAGCTCGGTCCTTTAGGTCCACCTCGCATAGAGCATGATAGGTTTCATGCTACGCGTGCGCCGCTGAAGCGGCCTGCGGGTCTCAACGCCATCAAGGCTCGCGTGCCTCTCAGGCTGACCAACAAGGGCTTGCGGGCTGCCGCCCCACCGCATCAGCCGAGCACTGCCATTGTGCCATGGACACCATCGGGGTCACCCTCCGTGCCGCCTGCAGCGCCAATGCAACCCATGGACGCGATGGCCGTGATGCAGCAAATGCTGGCAGCGTTTGCGCCACCGCCATCGCCGCCCAACGAGCTGCAGCTGCAGCTCTTCCCGCGCCGCCCTGCGGCGCCCACGGCGAGCCCCCCCGCGAGTCCCCCTGCGATTGGTGATTCGCCAGCTGGGCCAGCATTGTCAGCGGCGGCGCCAGATGCTGCTGCAGCAGCGCCAACGCCGCCAAACGAAGATGCTGCTGCAGCAGCAGACGGAGACGAGGATGCTGTGCTGCAGGCGATCGAGACCTCGGCTGCGGGCAGCGCGAAAGGCGAGCTGCCTCGCAAGGGCAAGGGCAAGGGCAAGGGCAAGAAGGGCAAGGGCAAGAGCGCGATCAAGGGCAAGAGCAAGACAGGCGCTGGCAAGGGCAAGACGGCGGCCAAGGGCACGGCCAAACCGAAGGCCAAGGGCAAAGGGAAGGCCAAAGCCAAGGCCAAGGCCAAGCCCAAGGGCAAGGCGGCAGCCAAACGGGGCCAAATGGCACTCGGGTGCAGCAAATGCCGCTACCTGCCGAATGGCTGCGGCACGTGCCGCGACCCGAACTTCACTGGCCGTCGCGGCAAGCCGTGAGCGCGCAACGGGCACTGTCGGCATATGGAGGTGAGGATGAGGATTATGAGGGCGAGGAGGAGGATGGGTAGGATGATGAGGAGGATGAGCATGTGGAGGAGAAGGAATGAGGAGGATGGTGAGGATTAGTGCGAGGTTGGATGGAACGCTGGCCGATGATATGAACGGTAGTGGCGATGGTCTTGCCTGGCGGTCGCGCGGCTCGCACGGACGACGAGGAGGATGAAAGTCAAATATGTTGACGGGTTCTCTTGGATGCGGGCGCTGCAGCGCTGGCGCCTTTGTGGTCAACGTTTGCATCGCCATCATGATCACGATGCAGCGCTGCAGCGCTCGCTTTCCTGGATGGTGGCGTAGATATTGCGCGCTGTTGTGTTCCGATGCAGCGCTGCAGCGCCTGTCAGACTTGTGGTGCCGTTGTAGCGTTGGCGCGTTTGTGAGTGTGCAGTTGCAGCCGCGGTGTCCATGTATTGCGTGACGTGCTCGTCTTGAGTGCCAGTCGTTCCTCGTCGATACGCGCTGCAGCGCCATCATTCGTGATGTCGAGCGTTGTCTCCCGCATGGTTGTTGCCAAGTCACGCGCTGCAGCGCTGTGATTCGCTCATGTTGCGCGTTGCCGATGGCATGCCCTCCTCCCCCTCCTCCTCCTCCTCCTCACTTGGCTCGCGCGTCGCAGTCGCCATCGTTCGCTGCAGCGGGTGCTGGCAACGGACCTCCTCCGCCTCCTCACTGGGCTCGCAATGGCGGCGCGCCGCTGCGACAAGCCGTTCGAAGCGCAAGCGCGCGCCGACCGTCGCGACGAGTTGCGCGAGGCCCGCGCGAGAGCGACGGCGACTGCTACAGCAGAGGTGAAGGAGGCGCGGAAGAACGCCAGGAAAGCGGAGAAGCAGGTGCAGATCCGCACCGCGGAGCTGCAGGTGGATGAGGAGGCGGATGAGAAGGAGGACGGTGGGGTTCATGAGTGTGGCAGGCTACTCCCCCGCTGCAGCGGGGGAGAAGGACGACAGGGGGGATGATCAGGAGGAGGTGGAAGGCGATGATGTGGGAGGATGAGGAGTATGAGTAGCAGGGTCGGGGTCAGATGGACATCGCCGCTTCGGACGTGGCCAACCAGAAACTCAACGAGGCGTTGACCTCGCTGCGGAACGCCAAGAAGATGAAGGTGACCTGAGTGAGGTCGGCCTCGGCGACCGCCTGCTGAATCATGCTGGTTCGATTGATTGGTAAAGGCTGGAGGGAACGTGGTTGAGCGTGTTGTTTGAGTTGCGCTGCAGCGCTTCTCCGTGGACCACGGTTGAAAGTTTGCGCGCGGATCATGATGTGTTAATGCGTTGCGCTGCAGCGCAGTTTCGCTTGCAGTTTCTCGTTGGATGGTGATGTGGCGGATGATGAGGGCGAGTGATATTGATGCTGTTGACGATGAAGGTGATGGTGACGGGGAGGATGAAGGGACGGGAGACGGATGATGAGGAGGATGGGTAGGTTGAGGAGGAGGATGGGGAGGATGAGGGGGCGCATGAGGCGGAGGAGGAGGAGGGGGAGGAGGAGGAGGAAGAGGAGGAGGAGGAGGTATAGGAGGGGGAGGAAGAGGAGGAGGACGAGGGGGATGGCGAGCAGGATGGAGGAGGAGGAGGACGTTCGCGCTGCAGCGCGTCAGATTGTCATCATTGAACGTTAGCGGCGCTGTAGCGCCATGTGCTCCCAGACTGTTGCTTGGCAGTTAGCGCTGCAGCGCGCATTTGGTTGCTCTCCACGCGGTGCAGCCTCATTTCCATCCGTAGTCGCCGTGGCCCCTAGCGGAGGGGCCCCTCCGCGCGCGCGCAGCGACGGAGGCAAGCTTGCCTCGGGAACGCGCGCGATGGCGGCAGAGGACGACCGCCCAGCGAAGCTGCGGCGGCTGTCCCGCCTTCGCGCGGAACTGCCACTCATGCATTGTAATGCGATGGCGCAATTCCTGGCGTCCGTTAAGCGAGACGGAACCCCCGAATTGGGATCCCGACGCCAGGATATCAGAGACGCTCGGGAGCTCATGGTCGGTGAGAACACGCCGTGCGGCAAGCTCCACCAGAACATGGTAGTCGGGCAGCACACGGTGGAGATCTGCAGTCCAGCAGCAATGCTGTGGTATTGCAGCGCCCTCCCCGCGATGCAGCCTCTGTGGCAGCGGGCGCTGGAGCTGCCACGCCCGTGGCACATCATCATTTACGGCGATGAAATAGGCGCTGGCAACGCGCTGGCGCACGCGCAGAACCGCAAGTCCTGGGGCATCTACTGGACGATCGCGGAATTCGGCCCGCAGGCGCTTTCGTCGGAGGACTTTCGCGATAGCGTTGCTGCAGCAGCGATATATGCGGGGGGGAGGGGGGTAGAGAGAGAGATAGAGATAGAGAGAGAGAGAGAGAGAGAGAGAGAGAGAGAGAGAGAGAGAGAGAGAGAGAGAGAGAGCGAGAGCGAGAGAGAGAGAGAGAGGCGCTGCAGCGCCAGTTGTGCTGCGATTTGTTCGCAGGATGCGTGGTTCCAGCTCGCGACGATGCGGGCCAAGACCGCGAACGACATCCAGCCGCGCGGACTGACGATGCTACTGGACGCAATCCTCGCGCAGTTCTGGCCTGATCAGGGGCGCAACTTCAGCGCAGGCATCAGCTTGCGGCTGCGCCCCGACGGCGCGACGGAGCTCATCCAGATGGACCTCGGAATTTACATTCAGCCGCTGCAGCGGTCGCCGCATAGCACCCAAGATGAGTTTGCATACATGTGCACATGTATATATCCATTGCGCCTTCTTGCGTCGCTGCAGCGGCTCTGTCGGATCGCGGACGAGGATGCAATACACCGCTTGATCGGAATGAAAGGTTCGTCAGGAATCAAACCATGTTTTATGTGCCGCAACGTGTTCTTGAAGGGCGAAGTTCGGGATGTAGTTGCTTCTGATGCGACGGGTGTCGCTGTTCACCACTCGGAACCAGATGCGTCGCGGCTGCAGCCGATGACGGCGCCGTTGCTCGATGCCATCTGCAACAGATTGATCGAAGGGGTCAACATCATGAACAAGGGCGAGTTCCAGGAGTTGGAGCGCCGACTTGGCTGGAACTGGGACCCCCATTTGCCTGAGCGGGTTCGGAAACTCAAGCCGCTCGAGACAGTCATGTTTGATTGGATGCATTGTATTTTCGTCAACGGTACATATAACATTCTGGTGTTCCAAATGTTTCGAAGGTTGAAGGGTTACTGGGCGCGCGCAGACGCATATTTCCAGGACTGGTCGTTTCCAGGGTGCCACTCCATCTCCCCCGACACGTGCGCGATCTTCGGCGAGAAGCGCGTGAGGTCCCACGTTGACAGCAAGCATTTCAAGTGCACCGCCAGCGAGGGGCTCACAACCATGCAAGTATCATTGCATGCTTCGCGCCCCCGCCAGACCAATAATACATGCGCTGCAGCGCACGTGAATTTCTGTAGGATATGTACTGCACCCCTCTTGTTCGGACATGCGTTCGCGCGGGCGGATTGACGTGTTTCTTCAGGGAGGTGGCTAGCGACGCTGCAGCGCCTGCAGTCCGATCTGCTTGCGCAGTGTTCGAGGCGCACACGATCGTTGTGGAAGAAATCCTACGAGTATCCAGGCGTCAGGCAGACGCGGATAAGCTGCAGGCTGCGGGTAACATGTTTTTGCTGTCATACAGCAGCGTCTTTGGCAAGGAAACGATGGCGCAGAAGTTCCATTACCTGCACCACTTCGCCAACTACGTGAGGCGTTGGGGCCATGTGGCGCTGCCGTCGTGCTGGGTTTTGGAGCGCAAGCACAAGACCAGCAAGCGCTTTGCGAACGCTCTTCAGGTGGGGGCTGCAGCCTCCAGCGGCTGGGACGCCAATGTCCTGAAGAGCGTCACCGAGCGGCACCTGTGGCAGCTCATGGATGGCGACACCTTTAAGGTTAACTGCCTGGTTAACGCCACCAGGCCGTCCAAGGCCATCTCGCGCGAACTGCTGCAGCAGTTCGGGCCTGCGGACTTTGTTACGTCCGCTGCAGCGCGGTGCCGCTACCGCGACGTCAAATACGGCGACGTCGTGCTGTTGGAGGACGGAGGAGGGGAACACATTGCGGCCGAGGTGTTGAAACACCTCTCCTTCACCAAGAACGGCCACTACTATGGCTTGAGCTTGGTCCTGCCCTACTTCTTCAAGGAGAAGCTGCACCCGCGCGCCTCCGCGCACGTGCTTGGCGGCGATGCCGACGCCTTTTGGGCGCACACGGCGAGCATCGTGTGCTCGCTCGCGTGGGCGCCGCGCGAGGGCGGCGGCATCCGAGTGGCGCGCCCGATATGGTCGCAGCCGCGGTGGTGCGCTTTAGCCTAAAACGTGGATTCCTTACTGGCGCTGCAGCGCACTTTTTTACATTGCTAAATGCTTCGGTGCTGCAGCACCTGAACGTTGCATGGTCGACGACTCCTCTTCTCCGCCTTGAAAACGTGGATTCCTTCTGCATAGCGCACCTTTTTCATTGACACTTCGGTGCTGCAGCACCTGAACAGTGCATGGTCGCCGATTCCTCTCCTCCGCCTCGTTCCTCCTCCTCCTCTTGCGCTGCAGCGCTAATGT